CCCCTCCCTCCTAGCACTGATGTTGTTACCTAGTTGGGTCATGAAACATCTGGAAGAAAACAACCCGGCTCAGAGACCACCAAGGACCCCTTGTAGACTTAAGTGTCTTCTGGAATGCCAGCACACTCAAGACCATATGCGCCTCTTAGGAATAGTGTACCCCATAAAAGGAGGGTCTACTACCAAAGATCCTATTATTTTTTTAGCTGGGGTTAAATTATGGAAGCAGCCATGCATCTAAAGGATCACCAAGTCAACATCTTTCTCTTCCATTTGCCCGAGGAGGCCATTTCTAAAACTGAGGCCTCCCCATAAACAGACTTAGCTCCGTGTTCCTTGCTTGCTCTCTTAGACTTACCATTACGCAGTACGCCTTGGTTGACTCGGATGACCGCGTCGGTTGGAAGGAGTTGACTTCGGGAGGGAGTCAGCAGAGCAGAGACCACGAAGACGCTCCAGGCCGCTAACATCTTTGGTCAAGTGGGACCTGCTGAGATGCAACCGGAGCTGAGTACAGATGTCCTCTCAAAATTTCTCTCCAACTAATTAGCGGGGAGAGAAACCGAGTGGGAGATTTCTCTGGCCGACCAATTCTGAAGAGCTCCGGGGCGAGGGGGCAAGATCTTTCTGAAAAAGGCCATCAGGAGAACTTCTTCTTGAGATCTTCCCTTGGGGTTGAACCAGAGGTGGTATTCAGCAGGTTCTGGCCGGTTCTGGAGAACCAGTGGTGGAAATTTTGAGTCCTTTGGAGAACCAGCCAATCCCACCTCTGACCGGCCTCCATCCCTTCTCTGCCTCCTATTGAGTCCCAGCTGATCGGCTGGGTCTCCTTTGGTTGCCCTGCACAGGAGAACGGAGCTGCAAAGCAGGTCAGTGGGGTGGGAAGCGGGATTTTGCAGTATCCTTCCCCTGCCACGCCCACCCAGCCACGCCCACAGAGCCAGTAGTAAAATATTTTGAATCCCGCCACTGGGTTGAACAGCGGGAAGTCTTGGGCGGTGACAAACCATAACAAATTGTCCCAAAGGTAAATGGTCTGCATAAGGCAAATGGTCTTTCTTGTTCTTGATTTTCCTTGAAAGCTTTTCACTTCTCATCCAACATCTGAAGAACTTCAGAACTGAAGAAGCTTCTTGGATGAAAAGGGAAGTGTTTTCAAGGAGAAGTAAAATCAAGAAAGTCTAGTTGCCTTTTGGAAAAGCACCTTTTCCATGACTTGGAG